AGAGAGGAATTCTGAGAAAACACAGCAGTTCAAGGAATAAGCAGGTCAGAAGAATCAGTAATCCATCAGTGTGTCATTTTTAAAGTAATGACAGCAGCAGGAAGGATGTTTACTGATATACAGCAGAGGAACAGTTCTAAAGTTTAGCAGGGTTGTTTGGTTTAGGATGTGCTAATGTTTTACATGAATAGGTCCATTCAGACGCGACAGTGAGACTCAACTTGAAATGTTTTCAACTTGCTGTGATTGTGTTTTGTTTGGTCCAATTTCTGTTCTGCGGTATTGATTTTTCCTAGAGCCACAGGGTATAAAAAATAAAGGTAATCAGTCTTGAAGTGCTTTACTTTCATACAAAGCTCTCCCTGGGCCATCTCAGCTGGCTGGAAGAGTGAAACTATTATCAACTACAAAGAAAAGAGAAAAGTAAAACAAACAAGCAAAGTCAAAGCACATGAATCTATTGTTTGTGTATGTATTCACAGGTTATAAAGCTCATTCTAATCTTGCAAAACAACTCAGCATAGGACTGTAACATATCGCCAACCTTTCCGCAGTTCCACCATCTCAATGAATCTGCTCTTTTCCGATTCTGCCTCAACATGGCAGACCTGAATGTTTGAGAGATAGACTGTTGAAGTCCTTTATTTGCTTTGGAAAGCTGAACAAAATCATCAGTCATCAATATCCCTTGGTTTGCCAGACTCTCCAAAGATGGAACCGATAAGTTGAGGTGGTGTTCAAGAGCTGTATTGTATATTGGTTTACGCTATATTGTATGCTATATTGTATATTGGTTTTATTTGTTGTGCCATGTGCCATGATCGTGGTTTTGGACATTGGAACCTGTTTCCATATTTCCTCTTGACATGATGACCGAAGAAGAGGATAAATTTTTGGCTCATAAACATCTTTAAGACCTCTGCAACCCTCCCCTTTTCAGCCAACTGCCTCCACAGGAACTCCCACAGAGGTGTGCCACCGCACTCTGTGTTGAGGACAGTTAAAACCACACAACACACAGAATTATTCTCTCTTTCCCATGAAGCTGCCTGAGGGTCCACATCGAAAGACGGCACCGCCATGGAGACTCTAAAAAGGCCAAGATCTCCAGAATGATGGCTGACCTTTCAGAACCAAACTCCTGCAAAACAGAAAGTCTCCTAAGAAAAGGTTTGTAGGTCTGGCACATCTAGGAACAGAACAAACAATGTATTTTGATGATTTGGATCATTTCATTGTTTACTGGTGAGTAAAGACAAAGCTAACAGGATGGACTGCATGCTACCCTTGACCCTTTTTTTATTTCACTAAGGTTTTAACACTGATATAACATTAGTGTTCATGTGTTCGTCATCTGCTCATTACATTTCCATTACCAAGTATGATCAAGAGTCATTTAATGGAATCCTCATGTCTATTCGCTGCTAGCTATTTCAAATAGGGTAAATAATAATTTAACTAAAGGTTAGTGGTTCCTGATTAAGCAAATCATTTAATATAGCATTATTTGGCCAAATAATGTTTTATTCACCATGGGACGATTTATGAAAACCGTCCGAACCGTTCGGTTCGACTGTCTCGGTTCGATTCGCATGTGTTTCGTTCGGTTCATGCGCTGCTCCTTTTTCTCATAGGCGAAGGGTTTACACTCCAGAGCAGAAGGTGGCGGTACTGCGACCAAAGCCAACCACCAGTAGTAAACAAGAAGAAGAAGAAGCGAAGCAGCTTAGCCAGGTGTAGCAGAAAAAAATCAGTTGTTGTGGAGAATTGTGTCGGACTGGCGAGTGGGAAAGAACAGGAGTTGGAAGACGCGCCAGCAGCACTTTATAGGTCTGCTGTATGGGACCGCTTTGCATTTAGGGTGACCTACGATGACGGCGGAAAGAAAGTTGGGGATAAAAGTGCAACAGTGTGCAAGCATTGTGCAACACATTTTGTTTATGCTAACAGCAACATGACCAACATGTCATGCTAACCCCGAAATCCCTCATACTCCGTCAGCAACCCCCGCTCCGCCCTGCTGTGCTCCAGACTGGCTGCTCAAAGCAAAGCCTACAGCCCCCACTGTGGCTCCCGTCCGCTCCCCTCTGAGTCCCTTGGAGATGGTAGAGAGCATGCGCGAGATGATTAAATTCAAAGCAGCAAAACATACGGAAATGATCCAGGGTTTCCGTGGATCATTTAAAATAATTACAATCCATTATTTTTTGGGGGATTTTTTCATTAATTTCATAAATTTTTATGGGATTTCGGTGTAACAATCAACATATATCGAATCGAACCGAAAACCATGACCACGTGTTATGTGCTCCGGGCACATTATTATTTCTTTTGTTTATTTAATTTCGTTCATTTGCAGCATTGTGGCCCGCCTATAAATAGGCCGGCGTTCAGAATGTGAGAACGCTCCAGTCCGCCCCACTCCGCCCTGCTGAGACGCAGTTTTTCTTCTCGCTCCTGAGTTCGACCCGTGGTAGCGGGCTGAAACTGACACTTGAGGCTGCCATGTGGTAATTTTTTTTTTTTTTTTGTGGTTTCCCGATTTTGGCCTGGTGGGACCGGTGGTCCTGTTTTCGATCTTTTCTTTAATATAGGTTTTTCCCTTTTTTTCTTTTTTTTGCTTAGCCCGGCTTCAGCTGAGGCTTCGACGGCCCTGTATAGGGTTGGCCCTCGGCTGTGCCGTTTTGTTCTTTTTTGCCGGCTCACCAGGTCCATCTTTCTGTTAATACTTTTTGGAAGGTTTTGTTTCTCTTTTCTCTTTTTTTTTCGATTCCTTTTTTTATGGGACACGGGATTTGAGGGCCAACTGACCATCTTTTTTCTTTTTCCCTTTTAGGAAAGATCAGAAAAGTGGATAAGTTAAAAATAAAACTGATTGAACTTCATCTTCTTTTGTCACGTGTCCTTAAATATGTTGTGTCTGGTGTGGACCTAACACCACGAAACCGTGAATCGAACCGAACCGTGGATTTTGTGAATCGTTCCACCCCTAGTGTGCATGTCTAACTGCTTGAGAGTTTTGTCTGTTCTTCCATTTCACAATGTTTCTGTGATTTTTCCTTGCACCTTAGGATGAACAGACCCTTTCTTGCTCTGAAGTCAGGTTGTTTTCTGTTCCTCTGGCTAAAAGAAAAAAAAACTGCAGAGATGCAGCACAAATTGTTCCAAATGCTGGTCCAAAACCATCAATGTATATTGTTAAGCATCACTGCTTCCTTTAGAAATGTGTGAGGGATCCACTTAATGTGCACCAACACTCCTCACAGATGCTTGCTTTCTAGCTGCG